TAACAGATCTGAAAGCCCCTATCCTAAAAGTGAAAGTGATTGTAAATATGGATATTTGTTGTTTGTCCATATTAATTGAGAACTGCCTTGATTTCTTGATATGAATAATTACGGTCGATATCAATCAAGATAACCACTAGTGATGATTCTTTTTCCTTCTGTGTTTTCTGAAACACTTTTTTATTTGATAGTTGGCTGGGACTTGACCATTTATCCATTTCTAGAGGTATTATGGTAAAATTGTCTTCCTCCTTTCTATTGATTTTTTCAAGATATCTTAATGTGTCTTTTTCCTCTTTACAGTAGAATATTATCCAGGAATTGTCATTGATAAATACTTTTGTAAAGGGGTAAGAGTCTTTTGGTAGGCTTAGCATATTCTGGAGATATGCTATTTGTTCTGTTTCGGTTTCTCCTGGAAGTCTTGAGGTAAATACACCCATTTTAAAATCTCCATTTTCCTTAATATGATATGGATTAATACTGAATATTTTTCTATTTCTTGTTTTATATATTTGCTGTTTAGCAATATTATCCCCTTTAATTTTTTCATCGATGACTTCCATTTCTATTTTGTTTTCTAGTTCTTTGTTTTCCATTTCGACTTCAGTGACGATTAGAATTTCAATTGGTATGGTTACTTGAATTTCCATGGCTATTGCCTTATCAGGTGAGTTGTTAATAGGAAGATCACTTTCAATTATCGACTGATTTGTTGATAATGGTTGTAAGGTATATTGTGTTTGTCCTACCTGTTCTATCATATCCAGGTATTTGTCTTCTAGAAAGGGAGCTAGAAGATCTTCTTCTTTTTCTTGTTCTATGGCCCATAAGTAAAGGATATATTGTCTAAGAACCTTGGCTTTAATGAAGGTAGTGTGATCAACATCCAAAATTCTAGCGATGATATTATCAATAATCGAGTATCTAGTTGGACCTAGGACTGGATTTGTGATAGTTTTTTGAGTTGAAGTAACATTCAAGAAGGTTTGTGAGGCCCATAACTTTCTTTGTTGATCATATTTGTTCGTTGGTTGAACTAAAGTTTCAATGATATGTGCTTCTCTTTTCTTAGCAACCTGTAAAAGTTTGTGTTTTCTCATGGACATGTTAATCATATGATATGAAGAGTAGGTTATTATATACGGTATTAATATGTTTTATTAAATGCTGTTTTGGATAGTGCTGAGTTTGTTTATTTGTTTTGTTTGTTTATTCTTGTTTATGTAAACAAGATGTTGATCTGTTGATCCACGTGTTGCAGGTTTGTTTATTCCTTATTATTATTTTGATAATATGAAAAAACCTTGTTGTTTGTTGTAACATGCTGGTAATATTTATTTTACGTATATGTTGTAATAGTATTGTTAATATTGTTGATCAGTCAATAGTAAACACATGGAGTTGTGGATTGTTGATAATTGATTTGCATAAACACGTGAAGTTATGAGGTTGTTGATAATTGATTTGTGTAAACACATAGAAAGTATATTAACATTGTTTATTTGACACATCTTTGAACTTGTTGTTTATTTAACACATCTTTAAGCTTGTTGTAAAGATTATATGTGTCTGTATTTACATGATGTAATATTATTGAAATGCTATTGTTATAATGTGTATACTTCTTTACTATATAGTCAATGAAGCTTGGACGTCCCTCTAGGTTTTGTGAGTATTTGAACTTGAACTGATTTATCGGTTTGAGTTATTGCTTGTAAAGCTTTTCTTGATGTCTAGAAAGGTGTTAATCTGCACTGGCCTGGCTAGGAGCTTTGTGAGATTGATGTTGGGCTTCCAAGAGCTTACTGTGATTTAGTCTTTCTTGTTGTTTTTCTCTTTCTAAAAGAAAATTTTATATAATAGAAGTTAGTAATTTTTGTAAAACTTATCTCTTCTGCACTCTGTAAAGAATTCTTGAACTTGTTTTTGTAAGTTGTTTAGTTGTAAAGGTGGTTTCTCTTATTTTTTGACTGGTTTCTTTTTTTCTCAAAAAATTACCAAAAAAGGAAATTTTCTGAAAAATTGGGGATCAGCAGAAAGAGTTTTTTTTTTTTTTTTAATTAGATAAACAATTTAATATATACTGTATATATTTATTTAAATATAACTATTATAGATTTAATCTTTTTTTTAAAACCAATAGATTTTGATACTAATTTTTACTATTTTTAGATGGCATGATATTGTTACAAAGTAGATTATTTTCTATTGTTATTTTATTTGATTTGTAATTTTGAATATACAAAGTTGTTTTCTTTATAATATTCATAAAATATGACTGCCAGTATTTTAAAAAAAAAAAAATTTTTTTTTATTATTTAAATAATATAATTTAATTAATAAAGTTAAATTGTTTAAAAATTAAAAAATATTTATTAGATTAAAATATTGAATAAAGTTATTATAAATTATAAATATAATCACTCTAAATACAATTCTCTTAAATGCAATTACTAAGTTTAATCTAAATACAACTAATGGCATGGTTTCAAATTATAAGTTAAATAAGAAGTTTGTCCTCCATAAATGCAAAACTTCTATGAATAAAAAAATTTTTTAAATTTTCATTACAGTCCCGCCATGTTGCATTTAAAGAGGTTTTACTTGTTTTTTTATTATTATCAGTTAATAGCCAATATTCAAAAAGAAAATTGTTTTCTTTTTGTTAATCGGTAAGTAGACTTGAATTTATACAAACTTTGTTTCTTTTTTTAATAAGATATAAAGGAAAAACTCAAATAATAAAGCAGTAATACTTCAACAAATAAATGACAATAGTCTTAAATTCTATATTTATCTTAAATTGTTTAATCACGATAAATTTAAATAATACCGCCTTGAAATGGTGAACCTCTATGTTAAGATACTTCGCTTTCATTTTAAAATCTGGATCAATTTAAACAATAGATTCCTCCAATAAGACTGTTAGCAGAACATAGTTCGAATCATAAATAAACCAAAAAGTACTGTAAATCCAGAATCGTCATCTAGATATATTTTACTATAATACATTGCATAAGATAGCAATATTCCAAACAAATATATATATATATATAATATATAAAAAAAAAAGAAATTTCCGATCGCCTCCATTAAATTTCCATACGTTATGGGAAATTAAACATTAATTCGTATTATTCTGAAATCAATGATGTGCCTAAATCTTCATTCGGTTCTAGCAGACTGTGTAACGCATACATATCGTTAGAATGTGGCTTCAAAAATAGCCAAAAACAAAGGATACTTGCCTGTATTGTTTGAGAAGCACGCATTCGCCACCGTTTTCTAGATCTATATTATATTGATAGAAATAACCTTCAGAGGTGACAACCATGACTTGTGGTGTGGTACTAATGAATGTTTATGATCGATAGGTCCAAATTAAATACCAAACTAGAGCCATTTTGATAGTCCATCTAAAAAAATATTTCTTAACATACTTGCTTAAAGCGACTACACTCTGTACACCTGAACTTGGTAGTTTCAAATATGCAAAGTCACGGGTTGGTTCCCACATCTCTGTAAGAGCATCTGGAAGATAATTACCAACATTATCTGCTAATGTACGTCTAAGATGAAGAGATTGGCGACGTATGGTACTTCTGCCACCAAATTTTATAAGCATTAGCCGAAAATAGAGTTATGTAAGTGTTATTTTAGTATTATTTTGAACCAAACATTCAACGAAAAATGTTTACCCAACTCCTCCAGTCTTCTTTTTTTCATCGATGAACGCCTCGAACCCGCCTATATTGGGCGAACCCACGGAATGGCGTGCAATGGGATTTGTTTTTCCTCCTGTACCATTAGAGGAACCATTATTCGCACCTGTATTGCTACCAGGACCTCCTGTATTCCCTCCCAACTTAAAAACATGCACAGTATCGGTATCACTAGATACACATAATAATGAGCTAACAAGGTTAAAGGAGATAGAGTGAATGCGAGCTGGATAAGATCCCCGTCGGAATTGATACAACTTTTGCGCATTAGGGATAGAAAAAACGCGGATGACGGTCCCCTTTATATCGATGACAAATTCTTTGTATCAGAATTAATTATCATAAAAAGACATGTTTGGGAAAATCGAAATACCTTATCGCTGGCTGTTGCCAACAACGTTCCCTCAGAATTTATAGCAACATAAGCTACCGGACTTTTATGTGCTTGAACAATGTTAACTACCTGCAATGACAAAGCATCAAAAATCAAGACATCTCCAGAGGAAGTAGTATTTTGCAAACTGTTGTTAGAAAACGGAGAAGACGGAGATGGAATTTGTGACGGGTAGGCTATGTAGCAATTCTCATTTGAGGGTGAAAGGGCACAAATCGCTAATAAACATGTAAGAAAATGTCAGTAGTTAGTTAATAATATCATAGCTTCTATAAAATGATTCACCTGATGGATTCGGGCTAGTATCAATGCTGTGTAACAATTTCATATTACTGATATCGTAAACGAAAATTGTTTGCTCTAAAACGACAATCAGTCGCCGACGATTAAGTTTAACGGCTAGAATTGATGTCTGAAAAGTAAGCTCACATATTGTGGATTGTCGCTTTATAATAACAATAAATTATTAATTGTTAAAATATTATTTCAAAGAATCGGGTAACCATTTAGTTTTTAATAACGTACTTTCGTATTTGTGATTTGCAATCGTCTCGGTGAAAATGAAGGATGTTCTCCTGCTCCAACTAGAGCAACGAGGGATGTACAGAAAAGCATTTCGATAATGCCAATTCCTCCATCGGCTATTTAATAAATCAAAGAAAGTAGAAAATAAATTACGTACTGAAATTTTTGTTGTTTTTTATCGGTGCGAAAAAAAAAAAAAAAGACTAAACACCAACACCAAATTTTTACGCGAACGACGTAAGATTAATATATATTTGACTGATCCTTAATAATCAGACCTTTAACCACATCAATGCCCATTTGAATTATATTATAACGGACAACAGTACAAAATTGATAAATACAAAAAATTATTACGCATATAAGTATTTTGCTTACATTTTGAAAAACATTTCCCGAAAGGATCGCAGTTATATATTTTATAACCATGTTGAGTACCGACAGAGATACAACTTTTTTTTTTAACAAAGAAACAAAGAATTAGATTCATAATTCCTCAAGTCTTTGGTTCATGAACGACAAAAGAGCTCAACACTAATAATTGAAACATGTCTATAGCGAAATCATATACTCCTAAAAGGCAAATTGGCTTACCTAAAATCTTGATTGAAATTGATGAACAGCAATTCACTTTCACCTTTGCCGCAGAGATTCATGACGGATTCCGCAAACAATTAAACTGCCATAAAAATGTTTGTTCTTTAATCAGTGTCAGTGATCGTTTGATAGCAATCACGTGATTGATAGTATATATACAGTTTGGTGCAAAAATCTTTGAACAAATATTTGAAAATTTATATACTATAGTTTTACTATGATAAAATTTTTTTAATTTATAATAATAATAATAATAATAATTAAATTATTTTTTATTATTTAAAATTTTCAATTTTATTATGATATTTATATAAAATTTTAAATTTTATTAATTATTTAATTTAATTTATAATCAATAAAAAATTTATTTATTTATATATATAGTTGCTTTCAAAAGTTTGAATTCACTTACTATGTTTTTATTATAAATTTCAACTTTAACAATTTTTAAATTATTCAAAAAAACTTTTTTCACTAATTTATTAATCACATATAAAAAAGATATTCACAAAAGTTTTTTTATTTCTTTGCTAATAAAGTCTTAATACTTTCATTAAAACAACTTGAAATATGAATTCAAGAGTTGCTTTTATATTTTCTCTCTTGTTTACAAACCTCTTCACTCAAAAACTTGGCTTCTGGTAATCATGAAAAGTCAAGTAATATCTTTGATATTAACTGCAAAAAAGTTTCCAAAGGAAGAAGAACTGATTGTAAAATATCTAAAGATCCTTTCAACTTTTGAAGCAAGAAATTATAAAGGTTTTGTTATAGTAAAAAAGCTTATTTCCTCACTTTTTGATTGTCTAGATCCTCTTAGAACTTCTATTTTCATAATTTTCTAAAAAATTTTGTCTACTTCAATTTAATCCTTAATTTTAAGTAACACAAATCCTTACTAAAGATAATTGACTAACATGAAATTGTTAGTTTTTGAAATATAAACAAGCTTCTATTGATCATATTCATATATTTCAATAATATTATTGATAATTGAAAAAAAAGTTTTAAAAATATTTATTTTTCAGAAGCTCAAGTTCCTTAAGGAAAACATTTATGGTATCAAAAGATCAAGAAATAAGTAATGTGAATTGCAAATCCTTGTTTCTTTTCTAAGCTTATCAGGTAGTAACAAAGCTTTAATAAACAAAAGTTAAGATTTAAATACTTTTCTTGAGATATCTCAATTCTATGCTCATTTAAATAAAAAATCGATTATATTGACTTGTTTGATAACATAAGTAATAACAAAAAAGATTTTTTCAAGATCCCAAAAGAGCAAAAAGACTATTTCAATCAGACAGATTTCTTTTGAAAGGAGAATTGTTTTCATTTTGAACTTTTTTTTATATAACTTTGAATTATTTTCCTTTTCTAATTTTTTTTTCCTTTTCTTTTAATTTAGTAATTTATGATTTATAGGTAATTTATAATAATAAATTGTTGATAATAAACCTAGTAGATAATGATTATTTACTAATTATTTAGAGAAGTGAAATATTGTTCTCTAGACTAATTTGATTTAGAGTTCTTTGATATAATAATATATTAGTTATTATATGAAAAATCTATAATATTGTAGATAGTTATATAACTACTTAATAAAGATTAAGTCATATGATATAATTGTAGTTAAAAAAAAACCCAATTTTTAAATTATTAATTTTTTTTTTTTTTAAAAGTCCAACTGATAGGATGAATCTTTATTAAGAAATCAGTAGTACATTTTTAGATTACATGAGCAATTTATATAACCTTATTTTAACTACCTATTCTAGCTAGGTCTATCAATATTACCATATAGTAATACCATTTTCATCAGTTGCCCTACTCTGCCCAGGACTATTAGTATACCGAAGTTTCACTATGGACTTCTTTTTAATTGATCTTCAAGAGGCTGTGTTGTGTGTTCCTTAGTAGGGTCTTGTTTACCACTTGATAATCATGGATACCATGGATGATTCCTGCCATGTTTGGATCTTCTGTAGGCTAGTTGAAACTTAGATGGCGCAAATCTCCAGTCATGTTCTTGATATTCAGGTGATTCAATGGTGTCACATAATTGGGTGGCATATAGCCTTCCATTGCCTTATTTTTAACCACTCTTACAAGTTGGCCTTACAGGGGTTTCTCTTGGTTACTTTGTAATGGATTGCTCCTCTCAATAGATTGGTTACCTTGGTGATTGTTTCCAAATTTCATTCTCCCAGGGTCTGCCCCTGCAAGTTTTCCAACATGGCACTAACGCTAACTACCAGCCTCTGCAATAGCTGTTCTCTTTTGGATAGCCATTGGTTTTATGATCATAGAGATCTCCCATTAATTATTGTTACGGCCTATTACATTTTCGACAGGTACAAATGACTGAAGTCTCCCTTATCTCTCAAAGAGTGTA